AAAACATCTAAATTTATTCTTCATTACCATATATAAAAATTATATACGAAATATGTACAAGAAAACATAATTGAACACAATTTTGAAATCAATCAGGTTCTACGCAAAATTATTTAATTATTTCCAAAAAAAAACCTAATCTAACTTTAAAACCTAAATAAGTTTGAATTCAGTTGGCCGTAATCTGGTTGGTCGTAAACTTTAACAAAATTTTACATTCTCATTTTTGCGAATGAGTGTTTGAAGCAATATTCCTAAAATGAAGCATTTAAACCATTTCTCAAAGATTTATTTAAAGGGTGTTTTTAGATAAGACTCAAATTTGAGATAAACCCAAACCCTGTCTCCATTGTGCTATTAGGGTGATATTGAATCCCTATAGCGTTTGAACCAACTTAAACACAATGACATATTAGGCTCTTAATGGATAGTTTAACGACTTATATAACTTAAACTATAAAACTGTTGTTGAGCGTTTTTTAACTATAAATTCTTTGAAGGTAGACTCTTCTTAAATCACTTAATATTAAATTTTGGCAAATTTTAAAATAGATTCCTCTTTTCTACGCGTTCGTAGATTTTTTTATTTCTAAATCTAAGGAATAGTCTCTAAGGAATAGTGCCAAGGCACTTCAATTTGAAACACTCTGTACTTGTATATATTACAAAGTTCTTCTCTCCCTCCTTTTCGTCCGTACGAATTTTTTATCGGACTAAGTAATCATTTTCCAAGCTTAAAGTACGTTGATACGAAACCTATATATACATTCATACATAACCGTGTATAAAAACCATGGAAAGAATGTCTAAATAGAAGCTTATTTAGGTACATTTATGCATTTTTAATCTCAGGCCTTTGAAGTTTATTAAATTTTGTCTAATTGGCTAATTGGTATAGTAAATAAAAAATAAAAATTTCATTTTATAAAAAAATCCCTTCATTCCTAATGCTTATAAAACCAACTACAAAGTAGCAGTAACTAAAAAAAGAACTTTGTAATTTTTTAAGAAAACTCTAAGTTTTACAAGCGTTGGATTCTTTCAGTCAAAAGCTTACATTCTCTTCAATTTATTTTAATTTTGTTATCAAAGCTCTTTACCCCTTATAAATAAAAAATTTGAACTTTTAATTGATATAATCTTATATAAATGTTGGTTATTCACCCAACATGTAAGAAGTTGCCTTGAAATATGTAGTATATTATATACATATATATATAAAATATTTCGAAACGTAACAAAACTTAATTATTATGTTGAGCTTAATTATAAAGTTTCAAAAAATATTTTATTATATTATTCACTTCCAAAGAATATTAGACTTTTAACTATAATATATACAATTTATCTATATAATCTAATCTATTTCTATAGTCTAAAAACCTCTAATCTATAAGACTTTTAGACATAAAAGAAAAGAACAAGTTATGGTCTTTATCTGCTTTGTCTATACTACCCTAGAACAGAAATAGTGCAACCACATAGTAAAAATTGTAGCGAACAAAACAAGTCGTTAATTCTTGTCACTAATATTTCAAGTTTTATTGTTGGGCGATATTTTTAACACTTACCACAAATTTATACGGGAACCGTTTTCTGGCTGAGGTGGTCCTAGTTTTTTGTGAAGCAGTATATTTATACTGCTTATAAACAGATGGATGTGTGTAGTTAAGATTTTAATATTTGTTGTAGTAATCTTTGATGTTTATTTTCAAAAACAACTGTTCATAGCGTAAGCGATGAAGACGATGAAGTAGAGCAAAGAAAAGAATTCAAAAACCGCATGTGGGAACAGGTGTTGTGTTTGTCACTTCTGCGCAAGTTCACTATCACGGCTTCACTAATGATTTTTTTTATTTATTTTTAAATACTAATAGCTGTTGTTAACAATTTGTGCTAATAATTGAACTATAAATATAATTATTTTTTGAAAATATTTATTATTTGGAAATATGTTTTTAAAAATATTTCGAAATATTTCGCAATAAATTGCAATAGAAATCAATAAATTAATTTAAAATATTTTTACATTATTCAATATTTTATTGCAATTTTAATATTTCATTTATGAACTATGTGTATATATTTATTCTATTATAAATTTACATTTATTTAATTTTCTTTTTTTTGAAATATTTTTTGAATGCAATAATCACACACTGATGAAGCTTTTTCCGCGAACAAAATAACACTTCCACCGCACGCAATGGCTAAATGGCAACTGAGAAGAGATCGTTTGGGAAAGTTCTACTAAAAACCTTTGCCAATACAAAAACAAAAATAATTTCTTATTATTTTTGCAATACGGCTTTGCTCTCTCGCGTTTTATGTTGAAAGTGAAAACGTTCTTATCTCTTTTTTTTATCATGCAATTTGCGTTTAAGTCTCATTGGTGAAATTGTGTAGGTTCAGCTTCAGAAGAAGAATGCATTTTGTTCAAGTGAAGTTAACTGGATTTTTTCCTTTTTCGACCACACTAAGTAAAAAAAAGAAAGAAGTACAATTTTATATTTAATTTTAATTGAGAAAAAACAGGATGCAAAACAATGTTGCAAGACTGTTGAAGGGTGCCATATTAGGAAATAATTAAATCAATAATCTGGTAATAAACAATAAATTGATAATAAGATTTATTCTTCTGAGATGGAAGGGATGTCATCTTCCCTTAACAGTCTCAAGCCATATCTACGAAAATAATAATTACTATACACACACACACAATACTAAAAAATATTACTTCCTTCTTCAAACAAAAAGCATATATTTTTTCATGAATTTTCAAGAAGTGATCTACGGTAAAGCACAAAAGATTAGCAACAATTTTCTTTGCCTACCAAAGCCGCAATAAAAACAACAATTCTATAAACATATTCTGATCTAACATGTTTTAGCAGTATTATTTTAATTTCTTTTAATATCATGCTAACAAAATATATAGCATCAGAAAAGTTTGAATTGTGTTGATTGACTACAGCAAATTGTTGTTGCGAACCTCTTGATGGTACACTTGAGCAGAAGCTCTAAAATGTTGAAGAGCGAACTGCGACATCTTACAGAATATATTATTTTTGGGTCATATTACTATGAGTCCATATAATTTACGAAACAATAAATTCCACCCTGTGATAAAATTTTTAAGAGACCTAAATAGACTATGGTAAAATTTAAGGCTATGCAGAATAATAATGGCTTGTCGCATTGTCGCAATTCAGGTCGCATTCTGGCTTCTCATAGTAATAATATATCACATATTTTCGCGGTTATAATTGCTATAGGTTTAATAAAGAGTTAGTAGGTCTTCACAGTGGCACAGACTTTCATTCACACAATTGAGGACTGCCCAAATCTCTCTGTTATGGCGTTTCTTATGCAATGACTCAATGTGATATTAGGATTTTGAGTATTTAATTCTTCATTTTCTTTTCTTATTATAACTATTTGTTTGTAAATATTCTATGTAATTGCCGATATTTAAGCCAAATATATGCCTAAGTATTAGGAACAGTGTGGATGACGTGTTTATTACAACTGCCTGATTGTCTGAATAATCTATTAACTTTAGGGTTAATAAAAAAACATTTATTAGTTCTGTGTAACCTATATATATATATCAGGATATGCAGTTTATCAAAGTGGCTGTAGGCACACGTCATAAATGTCATAATGGAACTGTTTTCTTAAAGCCTACTTGAGTCATATACAAATTGCAAATAGCTTGGCACTGTTTTCTGTTATTTGTTATCTACTAATCCAGCTTCTTAATATTTATTTCACTATAATAATAAAGTCAGGCATTGGAATTTATTTATAGTAAATTATTTATTTATTTAAGTTCATTGATGTAAACACTCAGAAAAATAATTTAGTTGATTTAACTAGATTTTAACGAAATCTCAGTTCAAAATTTTCTTATTTCCAAAAAAAAAAATTTTCTTATTCGATGCATCATGTTGGTCCAACCATACCAGATGTTGGATTCCATATCTTCTTTACCACATGAGCTAAAATATTTTTTAATTACTGAACTATTGAGGTGATCTATTTTTCGTAATAATTTATTGATTTATGTGTAAACAAATTCAATCATATGGCTTTGCCAAATATAATTTATGTACAATATTTGTGGAAATATTCTCATATTCTTAATTCCTCAGAATTCAACACAAATTTTTTAACAAAAGATAAAAAAATTATTTATTTGCAACAAAATATTTCAGATATTTATTTTAACTTCACCTTCGGAATTGAAATATCGAAACCATAAACTTTGATGTATTTACTGCCAAACTATTTGGTAAGAAGTGCAAATATTTTCAGATACATTACAGTTCAATAAGTTTTATTGAATTTGGATTAATTTTCATAATTTCTTAGAAATGTTTGCATTTTGTTTCCATGCAATGCCGGAATAGAATGATAAGATACATTCATTCTTAGAATTGAGGATTTGTGAGATAACTAAGATTGCATGGCATTGCACCCAGCTAACGCTTTAATATCTTATCAAAAAAATGTAAATAATTACAAAAGAACTGAAGAAACCAATAATTTATAGCACTGTTAGAGCTATAAAAGTTTACTTAATTAAAAATATTACAATAAAAACTCTTACGTTTAACATAAATAATAATGACTAAAGGGAAAAGTCAACTTCGCACCTTCAACTTCGACGCAATAACCACACTCCTCCACATGTTCTTTCTAAACCTGTGCCACACCCATGATTTCTGGTGTAGATAAACCTAGACTTCTAGGTACTAAACCTCTTAACCACATCTCTCCCCCTTAAATATTGAATTAAAATCCAGCATTATCCATTAACCATAATTATCTATTGTCTGTCTGAGCAATAGACGAATCTTTTATTATATGAAATTAAAAATGTTCTTTAACATAAATTGATGTTTTGAATCTCTTGATATATTAATTTTAATAAGTTGGCTGTGATTTTTATGAAAAAACATATATCTTCAAATAAAAAATAATTTTTTCATATAGATAAAAACGTTCACACATCAAATATCAAACTTACAACAATTTCGGCCTTTGTATCAAAATTAACCGTAACTGTATTTTTTTTAAAAAATTTATAAATGAACCAATATTAAAGAGTATTAACAAGAAATTAATTAAAGTAACATACACTTAATATTCTACAGAATATAGAAAATCCACTAACTTTCCTCTTCCTTTCAGAGAGCAAATATAATACATATGTACTTAAACTCACATATATAGTAATATAGTACATATATGTATTTCTATTCATGGACCTAAAAAATTGTGTTCCATATCTACCATATCAACTACCATTGTAAATACTGGCAAGCCTGCAAAAAGTATTGACCGCCCTTATTTGATGCATACTTCCTTCCTTCCTTCCTTTCTGGTACACTTAAAAACACGTAAGTAATTTGATTTTTATTCTTTGATTTCTTAACTTCTAAATGTCCACAGATTTACTTATGTATCATATAATGATATTGTCACCCATACCGAGTTCATTCGCGTATAGTGGATGCCACGGTAGTTTGTGATGTAAGCCAATGCAATAAAACATATCAGGTGTGGTAAGTTCTAAAATATTTTTTTTCCCAAATGTGTTAATAAAGGGAACAATTTTTTGTTTTAGGAAGTGAAGATAAAATACCGGATGTGCTATTAACCTGACTGTAACTAAACACCAGTTTGAGATGTTATCCGCATACTATTACACTTGAGATTGAAACTTCTTTCCAGTTTCTTAAGAACTCTCTGTTCCAATATTTAACGGAAGGTCTAAGCTGCACAATTCTTTGGACAAAAAGATGATTTATGTATCGCCTAAATATCAGACCGTTCTCAATGTGAAATCAATAGCCGATGATAAACTCAAATTGAATACCTATTTTCGCCTAAATTATTAATAAATAAAATTTACGGACGAAATGATAAAAGACTTATTATTAATAAGTAAACAAAGTACTTTTATTATATATAGAAATATAAATATATATATATATATATATATATTGGAATATATTTCGGTATTGATATCAAGGAAGCATATTAATTTGGGATCATTTCACATAGATACCATATCTGGCGTTGAATTTAGAGATAAATATGATATAGAGATAAGCTGATACTGTGGGATGGAAGTGGTTTCAGGTTTTAGAGATACGTTACAGAGATTGTAACAAGAGATGTTTACATATTAAAAAAATAAAAAATATATATGAATAAAAACTAATTCTAATAGGAGCTAAAGGTTTTGCGAAGAAGGCTTTTATTATTTATATGTGAACCATTAATTTTTATCTAAAAGATATGTTATTATTAACATATGACTAAATATCCTTACTAATGAGCCAGCTATAACGCATAGCACTAGATAAAAATGGTACAAATTTTAGAGATATGTTATAAAGATTTCTGCACATCATGGTCACAAAAAAAAAATATAAATACGAATTACGTTTTCCATTTTAGTAGAACCCACCGGTTTTGTTAAGAAGACCCCAAAAAAAGTACTCCAAAAGTTTACATTGCTTTATTTCTTCAAAGCAATAAATAGACGTTTTCCTTCAGTTTTTACTAAGTTCTAACCTCTTATTATTAGAATAAAGTAATAATAAATATAATAACAAAACTCTAATTACACTTCTTATAAAGCTCGAATTGTTATAATTTATTACGGTCTTTGTTTTTATAAGAACATATACTTACGTTTAATATCATAACCTTCTCTTGCCACCAATAATTAATGTTAATTTTTTCTCCGGTCAGCTGATGTTGGTTTACCAACGAATCTATATTTACGCGTACTTTAAATGTTATGGAATAATAGTCTTAAAACTTTGAGAAAGGCTTACACAGCCAAGTATACTTAACTAATAAATGTGATACCAAACTATTCTCCCATTATATTAATTTAGGGAACAAGTAATTTTTTTGTGTTCAAACTCTCTGAAACCGATACCACAGGGTCCAACTTACTTATCTGATTAGGAGAACTGCTCGTTTACGATAACATAGTTTGTATGACATATGGAAACCTGGGATTTGTAGGATTTGTAAGACGAAAATGCGTTTATAAGTGCATCTGTTGAGCAAAGCCTTCACATTATATATTAGTATCTCTTATCTATAAGCTTTACGTTCTATTTTTAGTATAAATTCGGCATTAAGTGTCAAGTCTTACGCGAATTTTTACGACTGCTATATGATATCTCTACTATTTGATATATTATATACGAGAATAATCGCGCTAGTATTACAAAATTTCTTTTACAGTACAGTAACATAAATCGATAAATAGTAATTGATAATTTTAATTCTACATTTTTTCCAAACTTAAATTAAATTGAGTTTTCTTTTTCAATCTGCTTAACCGCTTATATTTTATATGTATTAAAACATAACCATTCACAGTGGCTAATGCTATTGTAAAGTTATTTGCTTTATTGCAAGCTTTCATCTGAACATTGATTTCATTTATTATAACAAATACAAGCACCACTATTTCTCAAAGAGATTCTCTAAGCACATTTGGAAACCACCAAAGACCGTATAAACGGTCTCTACCGGCGATTTGACCGTAAATTAATATTCCACACCGTATTGCATACCTACAGGCACCTAGAGCACAAAATGGAGTAGCCATTAGTAGCTAACAAATAGAAATAAAAATTTCAATTTATAATTCAGTGTTCACCGAAATTCTTAATATCTTTAATACATGTAGGTACTTAATACTTCCAAATCGTAGTTTTCAGCAATAAAACAAATAATTAAAACAACTGCATTATCTACGTCAAGTAGTGGCAAAATAAAGTAAATCGTGTCAAACAGTTTATTTTAAACTTTAGTAGGTTTTGGTTTTCCAAAAAATTTGATATCCCCAATCAAAAAAAATTTTTATTTCATATAATTATAGAATTAAGAATTAGGTTAAGTAATCCTTCCAAACTTTTTGGCCTTCCAATCAAAATTTTCCGTTGCTGTATTACCTACAATATCATATTAAACTATTAATATGAAAAATATAATTAATTAATTTAATTTAAAATGTTGACAAATTATATTAAAAATAAAAATAAAGTAAGTACAGTAGCTGCAAATAAATTTATTGCTGAAATAATTTAAACTTCAGCATCTAAAGTCTTCTCGTTTATTTGTTTTTAGTGAAAAATGTCCGCCAGGTGAAAGCATGTTCACCATGAAAAGGAAAGACTCGGAATTATAAAACCTACAATTCAATTCTCTTGATCAATGGTTTTATTGGTAAGTTCTAAAAACTAAAAATCAATCTTCCAATCAAAAACTTTTATTTCAGGAAAATGCTTCTATTTCCAATGTTGATCAATTTTATTTTATCCTGATTTTATTTCTAATGACGAGTAGGTTCACAACTATTTCTCTTATAAAAATTAAACTAAAACTATTTTTAAAATTGTAGAACATAATTTATTATGGTGTTCAATTATAAGCTTGGCATTAATGTCAACTATAACTCATATACGTCAAATCCAAACTGAATACCTTCCCCCAGACGTGACTCAAACTCGACTGTGACTACCCTTTATTAATATGGTGATGTAGGATAACAGCGAGGTGTATCAATTATGTTGGCGATACCGATCATATGTATCGTATTTACGGTACAGTAGTTTATCTTATAAAAACTATATAAACATTCAATTTATTACAGAATAGCAATTACGCTTTTTAACTACAAGCTTGACATGTCAGTCAAGTTTAACACAGATTGAATAAATCCCTGTGGAAACGGGATTACTTCAAAGTTTAAAACATTCTTTTAATGGTCAGTTGTCACATCTCCTGTTTTTAATAATTAATAAGTTTTCATTGATAATTTCAGTTTAGAAAAATTAATATCCTGTGAATAAAACTCCCAGATGTGACCAAGCTCGACTGTGACTACCCAATATGAAAATTGAGTTGTAGGATCGCAGCGAGGTTTATCAAGTATGATGGCGATACCGAGAATCGTTTTTTCTTAATGCTTGTTTAATACTTGTCTTATATTCGATAATATGGATTTTCTTAAATAAAATACAGATTACGGTACTAGAAAACGCTTGACTTCAAAAACAAAATAAATGGAAAGTTTTAGGTTTGTCTAAATTGCAATGGATGTCTAATTTGACATCGATTACGTTGAAGTGTTATTCGTATATTTATGTCAAAATTTTTGTAAATAAATTAATTGTCAACTTATCATTGTCTTTCCACTGAGTAATTCTCAAGAAACTATACCGTTTAAAAAGTAATGTGTTTCTTAAATCATTTAAATAAAGTTGTGATGAAATTGCGTTGGGTAAACACTGATAAGAACTGTGATGAACATTAACATAAGCCTGAAGAAGTTGATTAGAGAAACTGAACCTGATTTCAAATTATATTTTAGTTAGTGAAAGAAAATGAGAAGAAGGTCTTAATTTAAGAACTCAGTAATATGGACCCCAATTCAAATAAACTAGTAAAAGCTAAATACTATTATATATACTTATAAGTCAAAAATAATTATGTGTCCTAAATAAAATACTCGTATCTTAGTGCGTGAATAAGAACAAATCGTAATATCAAATATGTGGGCGATCTGCAGACTGCGATAAATTGTTGTCAGCTTTCCTTCTAAGTGTGTACAACCACACAACTTAGCGCGATTTGCTGGAAGGATTCTCGTAGACTATAGAAGCAATACTCAGTTTGATTACGTGTATCGTTGTGAAAAATATGAATTATATGAATATGAATATGAGTGATATAATATATATTGATATATTGATATATATTAAATGATCGCACCCAAGTAACTAATGCTTTTGCATTTGAACTTTCACACCCCTAAAGATTAACATAAATATTCGTTTCTTGGAAATAATTGCCAAAGGTCTAAATCCTATAGCAAGATTGAATGTCTCGTGTGCTTTCTAATGTTGATTATTCTGAACAATTAATAAAAATTTTAAGCAAACTTAATGACAGTAAAGTATTAATATTTAAAGAAGATGCCTTTGATTTTTAGAAAAAAATTTGACCGTTCAAATAAAATTTTTTATTCCTCATATTCCCAAAGAGTTTCAATAAGTGAAAATTAAAAATTTCTTTTCGGCCCTTTCATCTAAATTATATGTTGTTGATTCAGTTTAATAATACTTTGACATTACTATTAATTTAAATGAGGGTCCTATTAAAAGATGAAGGTAAAAATGTAACATATTGAAATGAAGTATCTCTTCAAATTCGTTAAGTAGTAAAAGAATTGTATGTCACCAAATTGTAGACTTCTCTTGTATATATAGGTATGATATTTACTATTCAGCTCATAATAAAAAGTCATTTCGAAATTATGGATTGTAAGGCCTTACAGTTGTAAAAATATTGGTAAGTTTTTAAATCTAAAAATAGTATAAATAAATAAAGTTCTTATCATTCGCAGAAAATCATATCATTACATCATTAAACAAAGAATGGGAATGTGAATGGAAACACTAACATATTATGAGTAATATATTGAAATATCTTGAAAATGGTAGGTGCAGTTTTATTTGAATGCTTGCACTCAATAAAGTGTTCCATTTACTAATTTAATTTCAGGTTTTGCAAGTGAATTACCTTTCAATCCGAATCTCACACGAGTATATTACCCAGATGTGACGCTCTCCTTCAATCCTTAGTGTATAATGGAAGTTATTATATATCACTTTATACAATGGATTATATGATTATGAATATGATATGAGTGGTAACTTCTCAAATCTAAAAAACATCAGAAAAACAGTTTCTATCATTTGTTGGACATACGATATCATAATATCACACCGCACTAAGGATTCGAATGAAATTACTAATAATTTCAATCAAATATCAAAATGTATCTAAAAAGGTTGATGTATATTTATTCTTATCCTCAATAAATTTTTCCATTTATCAATCTAATTTCAGGTGTTGCAAGTGCATAACTTGTTAATCCGAATCCCAGACGAGTCTTTTACCTAGATGTAACGCAAAAGTCAGCTGAGACGTCAACATGTTTAGTTGCACAAAAGTTGAGAACAAATCGTTGAATGCATAATATTTCTCAATACTTAATGCATAATGGAAGTTTTTAAACATGATTCTTCTCGAAATAAAGTATATTATTTCGAACAGACGTCCTCTGTTTACCATGTCAACACCAGAGTGAAATATATTTTTTATCTAAATAATATTAAATAAAGTTTTGTGTTGACAATACAACATTATTGTTTTAATATTATTATTTTAATGCAAGATTATTGTTTTATTATTATTGTTTCTGCGCAGATATTGGTAAGGATTTCTATTTATTATTTTAATATTCTTCATTCTAATTATCCACATTCTCAAGTATTATATTTCGTACTTGAAGTATCACTTCAGTGCAAGTATCGTCTACATATTTTATAATTGTGTTAACAGAATGCGTATCTGAATCTATTGTCGATGGAGTTGAGAAAGACACCATTTTCAACTGGATTAATATGCCATAATTAGAGATCTAGTTTGGTTTTAATAAAATATAATCGGAATTCATTTATCGATGACTAAGATTTTGTTAGGTTCTTATTGTTTTACTGTTTCGTGTAAAAACAATTTCATTGTAGATATGTAGTATATTCTTTTTTTACTGCTATCATAAATAAAACTCAAATATACTGGAACTGTAATTATTATTATTTTAATTATTATACACTATAATTATACACTATATTTATAACTTCATAATAATTGCAGTTATAGTCTACAATTTTTTCTGTAGAGGGAAGGGAAAGATATCTTATGTATAAATTAAAATAAATTATTAATAAAACAAGTGAAGCATTAGTAAGCATTAGTAGTATTCCTTAGTTGATATAATCGAATTAACTTTAGAGATAATAAATTTTATTTTCGAAAAGTTGGCTTTGGTTAAAAAAATATATTTACGACTTTCAAAATATTTTCTAATTATGAATATTAAATTGTAGAGTTAGCAAATAGGATGTTAAGTCATATTTTGGGCCCTTTCCATCAAAATTTTCAGTAGAATGTAACGAAATTTTAAAATAAGTCAGAATAAAAAAACAAAATCTCTGAAAGATATTTAAAGTAACGAAAATATCTTAATTTAAGTCCTAACTCTTTATATTTATTTTATTTTTTGTAGAATGGTGCAAAAACGAATACTCTGTCGCACTCTAGAAATTGGCAGTGGTATTCCAAAGCTAAATTTAGTGTTTAAATTATAATGAGTCGGTGAGTCGACAATGAAGCCATTGTCAGAAATTTTTAATCATCACTGGTACGCCTTTCTCATATAGACAAACAATAACTAAAAGTTCGCCGATAGGAGCGCAGTTATTGCATTTCCCGGCTGACGGTTGAGTACTGATATGGCGTTTCTGTATGAGTTACCTAAAACAAAGACACTATAAAGTATATTCATAAAATTTCTTGTGTATATATGCAATCTTTTTATTGATCTGGTAAGCATCAGCTTTTCATTAGGCTTATCACTAACTAATCAGTACCTATTTTCAGTCCAGAATATATTTTACCACATATTTTTGAATTACCTTGATGTAGCAAAGACCTGACGGAACTGAAGCTAAAATGGAATGAACCTGCAACCGCAAGAGTATTTACAAATAGTTTCACGCAGAGAGAACCTTTCTTTATAAGGGTGTTAATCCCTCTGGATACAAATTTATGCATTAGTACATCAGGTCTTAAAACATTTTTTAAAAAAAGTGTTTTTTTCTTTGTTTATTTGAATTCATAAAATATATGTTTTGAAATTGAATGAGCAAATTTTGTGTTTTAATAAATATTTCAGGAACAGCTTAAATGTCTGTATAGCAATATATATGTCATTTTTTGTAGTATAGATTTAAATATGTATCATTTTAACTTAATATTATTAAAATTTGTATTAAAGAGGTCGAATTTCATTGCATTTCTATATTTTTATGAAATAAACAATGTGTACATTCAGTGTAGACATTATTATTATATGTATAAAAATGCTAAGGCATACACTGATCATATTGAATATACCTAGACACTCTTTTCAACGAAGTATTATATATGCAAATTGTACACCGCAGTTCTTGTAGTTGTTTCGAGAGATAGTTAAGATAATCATTAATGGTTTGAAGTTGGTGGTAATCAGACCTCTCAATCGGTACTATGTGCGAATAGTATATAATTTCCATTGTTGCTTTATTGAATGTTGTTTTTTCAACTAAAATCTGGAATACACTATACTTCCACACTACTTTTCATACTGAAAGTAGTTTAGTATTTTCGTGATGTATATATAGTATAGTTATTTTCTTTTCATTTTTTTCAATACATGCTCTACTAACCTTTTGTATCGGCCCACTTGTAGTTGAAACGAAAGGTATGCCCATAACTATCGAATTCTATGTTGAGCATAGTTATATGGCACCCCTGATCAGGTTCAACGACCCAAATGTTGTCCCCATTAGTTGGTACCCATTTTGAGTCAACATCGACATATCATTTAAAAACCTACGTCACTTTATTACAAGCTTAGATGTTACGAAAAGCCTACAAAGGAAACAAAGATGTGGCGCTTACGAAAAGTGTAAATATTCCTGGTATTTGTTTTTTTGTGACAATATCATCGAATAGAACGATTGTCTGGAAGACGCTACAACGATCATGCAACTATCGTATGTAACATCGCTGATAGCGCTGGACCTTCTGACTTCGTTTAGGAATATTATCTTAACAGTTTCAGACAAGTTGGGCTCTCACACAATGACATACAAATCCATGGTGTAATGAGATCATATCTATTAGAATCTAACTACTGTTTTACTTCGTCTAATGTCGAGTATTTGTTGAGAAGCAAATAGCTTATGAATTTTAAAAAGGCTTGAAACAAACAAAATAAATAGAAGATTCTTATCAACTATTAATTAGTCCATATAACAAACCCTTTTCCGGAGACATTAAATGAAACTCAAAATTTGCTTATTCAATTTCAAAACATATATTTTATGAATTCAAATAAACAAAGAAAAAAACACTTTTTTTAAAAAATGTTTTAAGACCTGATGTACTAATGCATAAGTTTGTTTCCAGAGGGCTTAACACCCTTATAAACAAAGGTTCTCTCTGCGTGAAAGTATTTGTAAATACTCTTGCGGTTGCAGGTTCATTCCATTTTAGCTTCAGTTCCGTCAGGTCTTTGCTACATCAAGGTAATTCAAAAATATATAGTAAAATAGGTTCAGGACTGAAAATAGGTACTGATTAGTTAGTGATAAGCCTAATGAAAAGCTGATGCTTACCAGATCAATAAGAAGATTGCATATATACACAAGAAATTTTATGAATATACTTTATAGTGTCTTTGTTTTAGGTAACTCATACAGAAACGCCATATCAGTACTCAACCGTCAGCCGGGAAATGCAATAACTGCGCTCCTATCGGCGAACTTTTAGTTATTGTTTGTCTATATGAGAAAGGCGTACCAGTGATGATTAAAAATTTCTGACAATGGCTTCATTGTCGACTCACCGACTCATTATAATTTAAACACTAAATTTAGCTTTGGAATACCACTGCCAATTTCTAGAGTGCGACAGAGTATTCGTTTTTGCACCATTCTACAAAAAATAAAATAAATATAAAGGGTTAGGACTTAAATTAAGATATTTTCGTTACTTTAAATATCTTTCAGAGATTTTGTTTTTTTATTCTGACTTATTTTAAAATTTCGTTACATTCTACTGAAAATTTTGATGGAAAGGGCCCAAAATATGACTTAACATCCTATTTGCTAACTCTACAATTTAATATTCATAATTAGAAAATATTTTGAAAGTCGTAAATATATTTTTTTAACCAAAGCCAACTTTTCGAAAATAAAATTTATTATCTCTAAAGTTAATTCGATTATATCAACTAAGGAATACTACTAATGCTTACTAATGCTTCACTTGTTTTATTAATAATTTATTTTAATTTATACATAAGATATCTTTCCCTTCCCTCTACAGAAAAAATTGTAGACTATAACTGCAATTATTATGAAGTTATAAATATAGTGTATAATTATAGTGTATAATAATTAAAATAATAATAATTACAGTTCCAGTATATTTGAGTTTTATTTATGATAGCAGTAAAAAAAGAATATACTACATATCTACAATGAAATTGTTTTTACACGAAACAGTAAAACAATAAGAACCTAACAAAATCTTAGTCATCGATAAATGAATTCCGATTATATTTTATTAAAACCAAACTAGATCTCTAATTATGGCATATTAATCCAGTTGAAAATGGTGTCTTTCTCAACTCCATCGACAATAGATTCAGATACGCATTCTGTTAACACAATTATAAAATATGTAGACGATACTTGCACTGAAGTGATACTTCAAGTACGAAATATAATACTTGAGAATGTGGATAATTAGAATGAAGAATATTAAAATAATAAATAGAAATCCTTACCAATATCTGCGCAGAAACAATAATAATAAAACAATAATCTTGCATTAAAATAATAATATTAAAACAATAATGTTGTATTGTCAACACATAACTTTATTTAATATTATTTAGATAAAAAATATATTTCACTCTGGTGTTGACATGGTAAACAGAGGACGTCTGTTCGAAATAATATACTTTATTTCGAGAAGAATCATGTTTAAAAACTTCCATTATGCATTAAGTATTGAGAAATATTATGCATTCAACGATTTGTTCTCAACTTTTGTGCAACTAAACATGTTGACGTCTCAGCTGACTTTTGCGTTACATCTAGGTAAAAGACTCGTCTGGGATTCGGATTAACAAGTTATGCACTTGCAACACCTGAAATTAGATTGATAAATGGAAAAATTTATTGAGGATAAGAATAAATATACATCAACCTTTTTAGATACATTTTGATATTTGATTGAAATTATTAGTAATTTCATTCGAATCCTTAGTGCGGTGTGATATTATGATATCGTATGTCCAACAAATGATAGAAACTGTTTTTCTGATGTTTTTTAGATTTGAGAAGTTACCACTCATATCATATTCATAATCATATAATCCATTGTATAAAGTGATATATAATAACTTCCATTATACACTAAGGATTGAAGGAGAGCGTCACATCTGGGTAATATACTCGTGTGAGATTCGGATTGAAAGGTAATTCACTTGCAAAACCTGAAATTAAATTAGTAAATGGAACACTTTATTGAGTGCAAGCATTCAAATAAAACTGCACCTACCATTTTCAAGATATTTCAATATATTACTCATAATATGTTAGTGTTTCCATTCACATTCCCATTCTTTGTTTAATGATGTAATGATATGATTTTCTGCGAATGATAAGAACTTTATTTATTTATACTATTTTTAGATTTAAAAACTTACCAATATTTTTACAACTGTAAGGCCTTACAATCCATAATTTCGAAATGACTTTTTATTATGAGCTGAATAGTAAATATCATACCTATATATACAAGAGAAGTCTACAATTTGGTGACATACAATTCTTTTACTACTTAACGAATTTGAAGAGATACTTCATTTCAATATGTTACATTTTTACCTTCATCTTTTAATAGGACCCTCATTTAAATTAATAGTAATGTCAAAGTATTATTAAACTGAATCAACAACATATAATTTAGATGAAAGGGCCGAAAAGAAATTTTTAATTTTCACTTATTGAAACTCTTTGGGAATATGAGGAATAAAAAATTTTATTTGAACGGTCAAATTTTTTTCTAAAAATCAAAGGCATCTTCTTTAAATATTAATACTTTACTGTCATTAAGTTTGCTTAAAATTTTTATTAATTGTTCAGAATAATCAACATTAGAAAGCACACGAGACATTCAATCTTGCTATAGGATTTAGACCTTTGGCAATTATTTCCAAGAAACGAATATTTATGTTAATCTTTAGGGGTGTGAAAGTTCAAATGCAAAAGCATTAGTTACTTGGGTGCGATCATTTAATATATATCAATATATCAATATATATTATATCACTCATATTCATATTCATATAATTCATATTTTTCACAACGATACACGTAATCAAACTGAGTATTGCTTCTATAGTCTACGAGAATCCTTCCAGCAAATCGCGCTAAGTTGTGTGGTTGTACACACTCAGAAGGAAAGCTGACAACAATTTATCGCAGTCTGCAGATCGCCCACATATTTGATATTACGATTTGTTCTTATTCACGCACTAAGATACGAGTATTTTATTTAGGACACGTAATTATTTTTGACTTATAAGTATATATAATATTATTTAGCTCTTACTAGTTTATTTGAATTGGGGTCCATATTACTGAGTTCTTAAATTAAGACCTTCTTCTCATTTTCTTTCACTAACTAAAATATAATTTGAAATCAAGTTCAGTTTCTCTAATCAACTTCTTCAGGCTTATGTTAATGTTCATCACAGTTCTTATCAGTGTTTACCCAACGCAATTTCATCACAACTTTATTTAAATGATTTAAGAAACACATTACTTTTTAAACGGTATAGTTTCTTGAGAATTACTCAGTGGAAAGACAATGATAAGTTGACAATTAATTTATTTACAAAAATTTTGACATAAATATACGAATAACACTTCAACGTAATCGATGTCAAATTAGACATCCATTGCAATTTAGACAAACCTAAAACTTTCCATTTATTTTGTTTTTGAAGTCAAGCGTTTTCTAGTACCGTAATCTGTATTTTATTTAAGAAAATCCATATTATCGAATATAAGACAAGTATTAAACAAGCATTAAGAAAAAACGATTCTCGGTATCGCCATCATACTTGATAAACCTCGCTGCGATCCTACAACTCAATTTTCATATTGGGTAGTCACAGTCGAGCTTGGTCACATCTGGGAGTTTTATTCACAGGATATTAATTTTTCTAAACTGAAATTATCAATGAAAACTTATCATATTATTAAAAAGAATATGAAGATGTGACAACTGACCATTAAAAGAATGTTTTAAACTTTGAAGTAATCCCGTTTCCACAGGGATTTATTCCATCTGTGTTAAACTTGACTGACATGTCAAGCTTGTAGTTAAAAAGCGTAATTGCTATTCTGTAATAAATTGAATGTTTATATAGCTTTTATAAGAAAAACTACTGTACCGTAAATACGATACATATGATCGGTATCGCCAACATAATTGATACACCTCGCTGTTACCCTACATCACCATATTAATAAAGGGTAGTCACAGTCGAGTTTGAGTCACATCTTGGGGAAGGTATTCAGTTTGGATTTGACGTATATGAGTTATAGTTGACATGAATGCCAAGCTTATAATTCAACACCATAATAAATTATGTTCTACAATTTTAAAAATAGTTTTAGTTTAATTTTTATAAGAGAAATAGTTGTGAACCTACTCGTCATTAGAGATAAAATCAGGATAAAATAAAATTGATCAACATTGGAAATAGAAGCATTTTCCTGAAATAAAAGTTTTTGATTGGAAGATTGATTTTCAGTTTTTAGAACTTACCAATAAAACCATTGATCAAGAGAATTGAATTGTAGGTTTTATAATTCCGAGTCTTTCCTTTTCATGGTGAACATGCTTTCACCTGGCGGACATTTTTCACTAAAAACAAATAAACGAGAAGACTTTAGATGCTGAAGTTTAAATTATTTCAGCAATAAATTTATTTGCAGCTACTGTACTTACTTTATTTTTATTTTTAATATAATTTGTCAACATTTTAAATTAAATTAATTAATTATATTTTTCATATTAATAGTTTAATATGATATTGTGGGTAATACAGCAACGGAAAATTTTGATTGGAACGCCAAAAAGTTTGTGAATAAATACTTAACCTAATTCCTAATTCTATAATTATATGAAATATAAATTTTTTTTGATTGGGGATATCAAATTTTTTTGAAAATCAAAGCTTTCTTTATTAAAGTAAATTATTGAAGTAGTAGCTTAATACTAAAATATATTCATATAATGTTCCGTCTTGGGTACGCTGGAAGTCAGTAAGGATAATATTCTTGGATTAATTGATAACCTGTTTCTGTGAAACACGATCTTTACTGTATATGGTATTACTGTATATGGTATTTTTAATAAGTACCCATAAAAAATTAGTAGTAATAATAATTTACATTTCGAGAGTTGAATATATTATTAAAAATTTGTAGTAATTAAATACTACAGATGTTTTAAGAGTATTAAACTACAAAATAAAAGAAAATACTCGTATTTTTCATTACATAAAATGCAGTTTATTGTTTGCAGTGTTGTAATAAATATTTTTTCTTGGACCTAGATACAAATACAGATACTTAAAAGAAAATGTGGCTAGATACAGATTCAATATAGGTGTGAAAATTTAAAACTACTAAAAAATTATTTATTTTAACCACACAATATTATTAATTTAACTAGAAGGAACTTCCTCAGAGGAAGTAATTGTCTACTAGACCTCAAAATCCTTTTAATAGGAGCAGATGATACCTGACGGATTATTTATACCATTGACTATTACTATTATTGACTATTGATATCAACTGCTTAGATTTCGTTTCTAGGTAAAATTATTTTGCCATTTCATACTTATTGGAACTCAATTTTTTTGGTAGTCTATGTACCAGGTTAGAATAATAACTATAACTATTTAATATTTTTTTTGTTGTTTATGGGCGATTGTACGTATCCATACAAATTCTATATACAAATTTCTTTTATGTAATTACAGATGTAAGTTACAGGGAATGACATATATTTCATTAAACTACAAGATACGGCAATATGTAAACAGATACAATATTTTTATACTTAAAATATTCACATTACAACACGGATTATATATATATATATTGTAAAATTTCTGATAGGTACTGATGGTATAATTATAAGACAAAAAAAAGACTATTATTATATTTGCAATTGAAATATATTTTTTAAAAATATGTCAATAGAAAAAACAAATTTCATGCAGTCAATTGTATACGTCAATTTCGTTATAAGTCATACACTGGGAAGCGCTTATATATATAGCATCAAACACTTGCTCTGCTTACACCTCGTTAACCGAAATGAATGTACCATTACTAATCCATTATAGTACAACCAGCAGTACTCCTTTTTTTGACAGTTTCTTCGACAAGTTTCAGAATAGAAAAGCTTCTTTCCAAACAGTTTGACGTTATAACATAGATATACAAATTCCAAACAATAATTTTTTTCAGTACAAGCACAACATCACATAAATAAACCTATAAACAATAGGACAAATAAAAAAACAAAAAATAATTAATATTAATCTTACCATTGCAAAATTTTAAGTAACTTCTAAAATTTTCTACCCAGGCTAATAAAAGAATTGAGTAGTTAGGTCTTGCTGATCCTTGGAGATATCTTTATAAAATAACTACAGAAAGATACATAACATCAGATATAGCATTTATAAATATAAATAAATTTAACTAAATGCAACAAAAAAAAGTTATCGTTGTCTTACCAAGGACCTATTGTTAAACTGTGTTTAATAAATATTTATTCAGGTGGTGGTGGTGGAGCCGGTGGTGAGGGGCGTTTAACACATCTCTTCTTCGGGGTTTTGTCACCATCTTTAATATTTAAAAGGATTTATAAAAAAACCAATCGCAAGATAAAATAATGGCATTTACTTACGAAAGCATAGGTAAGCAATTAGCGTGAGCATTGCCTTTTCTGTTCTTCCTATATGAGAGCAGGAAAAAACTGTACGATTTTGAAGAAAGTCCCAAAAAAGTTGCACTTTTTAAAGGATATATAAAAATAAATATCCACTGTTACATTATTTAATAAATGAAAATTCTTAAAAATTATTAAACAAAATTTTAATCTTAAATCAAAATAAACGTTTACTTTGTTAGCATGAAAATTCAATAATTTTTATTATTATTATGTTATGGCCAGTTGACTCAGCGCGCTGGAGCACTTTTACTCTCTATTAATTGCGAGGTTTCTTCATAACCCCTCTCTACGCCTTGTCTAGATTATTGTTCATCACTTCATCAGACTAAGCAATAACTAACCTCAGATCTGCATACCTCCCCGAGGAGCCTGTAACCAATCTGAGATTCGATAACGCGGTACTGGTAAACCTGTCAATTTTCGTAAATAATTTCAAGGCATATATATTTATATTTTTCTATAAAAATTTATTAAAGCTATTATTAAGTTTACACTGCACCACAAACCTTAGCACTCTAAATTTTTTAATGGCCTTCGTGTATAGTTCCAAGAAAATAAACTATTTTATTATGCTATGTATGTATGTATTTAATGAAATGTACTTTCTTTATATGAAGGAAATAAAAATTATAAATATTTTTTAGCAAAAAAATTGTTAAAATTAATTGTTAACCACTTCCGCAATTACTTACTTCTGCACTCAAAATTTATGTTGTGTCAATAACTTCATAGAATATAATTAGATCCATACCTATAAACAAATACTAACCTTAACTATGCAATAGTACAATACAAGCTATGCACTCCTCATAATATTTATAGGGCAGACGTGTTTCTCTTAAAATATGCTATTTTAAATCATATTGATTACGTCACGCCCATTTTACTTTCAACATTACATAAAAAAAGTCCTGTAGATACTTAACATAATTTTGCTTTCCACACGTGTTTTATTTGGTATGAAGATACTTATTTTGAAGCTGGCGCCAACCACTTTAACGCCTCCTTGTCAAGGATAACATTTCGTAGTTTCGTTTAAGCAATTAGGCATGACTTGACGCTTCTTGTATTCAATAGAAGTATTTTGTTTGTATGTATTGGTTTCCTCAAATTTTCCTTATTTGGTTCAATAAACATACTAATATCCTTAATATCTTCAAAATGCTTGCAACGGTACTGTGACTGTCCTGCCTTGAATGTTTGGGATGCATATGTTAAAGAATATGCTGGAGATATTCTCAAGAGGGAGTTTATTGTTTTAAGTGACATTTTAATTGGTATTTATTGCTGCTTAAGTTGTGGAATCTTGTCAAATTTTTTCACCTCATATATTAGGCAATTTGTGGTTAAGAAATAATAAATTGAACTTCAACTATTGAGAATCGTAAAATAAAAATATATTTAATATATATTTATATATATATTATATATATTATATAATATATGATATATATATCATATATACAGTGGCTCACAGCTTATTTCGTGCAAGCAATATTTTTGTAGATTTAGTCGTGAAAATCCAAAATTTTGTTCAAAATAAAAAATTTTAAATATGCAACTTTAAAGAATGTTTAGTTTTTATTATAAAACAAAAAAAAAATTTAGCAAAAATATCAATATTCAAGAAGTTAAGTGAACAAAAACAAACATACACCAAATTCTGACCTCACAGCTTATTTCGTGCAATACATTTTTTTTTAGAAAATTAATAATTTTTGGCATAAAAAAGTGAATTTTAGTATTTAGTGGGATAGTCCTTTTGTTTAATTACTGCCTCCAACCTTGAACGCATTGAAATAACTAATTTTTGAATATATTCCACTGACATTTTTTGCCATTCCAATTTTAAAGCAGCTTTCATACTTTCCTTGCTATAAATGTTACATTTTCTTATGTTAGTTTCCAGAATATGCCATAAATTTGCTATGACACTAAAGTCAGGTGATTGTGGAGGTGTTTGGATGATGTGTGGATAATTCCCAACAAGCCAAGTCTGCACAAGACCCGACTTGTGCTTCAGATCGTTATCCTGGTAAAAACAGAAATTGTTAATTATGCCTAAATATTCGGCACTTTTATGCAAATTTTGCTTTAAAATATTAAGATACACTTCTTTATCCATTGTTGATTCTATAAATTGTAGATTACCTACTCCTGCCGCTGATTTACACCCCAATACTATCACATGCCTGCCGACGGTTTCGCATGCAGTTTACCAAACACCACCTGTACAAGAACAGTTCTTTCTGAAACGCAGTATTTTTTGTCAATTAGAGTAAATTTAATCTCTACGCTTCAGATGGTAAATCATATGTGAAATACTATTAAACATACGCCAAATATATCACATACTAAGCTCCAAAAAGAAAATTTATATGGCACAGTTAAACACGGTGGCAAGCATGTGATAGTATTGGGGTGTAAATCAGCGGCAGGAGTAGGTAATCTACAATTTATAGAATCAACAATGGATAAAGAAGTGTATCTTAATATTTTAAAGCAAAATTTGCATAAAAGTGCCGAATATTTAGGTATAATTAACAATTTCTGTTTTTACCAGGATAACGATCTGAAGCACAAGTCGGGTCTTGTGCAGACTTGGCTTGTTGGGAGTTATCCACACATCATCCAAACACCTCCACAATCACCTGACTTTAGTGTCATAGCAAATTTATGGCATATTCTGGAAACTAACATAAGAAAACATAACATTTATAGCAAGGAAAGTATGAAAGCTGCTTTAAAATTGGAATGGCAAAAAATGTCAGTGGAATATACTCAAAAATTAGTTATTTCAATGCGTTCAAGGTTGGAGGCAGTAATTAAACAAAAGGACTATCCCACTAAATACTAAAATTCACTTTTTTATGCCAAAAATTATTAATTTTCTAAAAAAAAATGTATTGCACGAAATAAGCTGTGAGGTCAGAATTTGGTGTATGTTTGTTTTTGTTCACTTAACTTCTTGAATATTGATATTTTTGCTAAATTTTTTTTTGTTTTATAATAAAAACTAAACATTCTTTAAAGTTGCATATTTAAAATTTTTTATTTTGAACAAAATTTTGGATTTTCACGACTAAATCTACAAAAATATTGCTTGCACGAAATAAGCTGTGAGCCACTGTATATATATATTTATATATATATATTTATATAATATATTAAAAATATATTATAAGATTTATATAAAATAAATCGTAAAATTCATAATATATATGAATGCCCAAAAATAGGAATTATGAGTTTAATTTATCAAGAGCAATGTAATGAAGGCATATGAATTTAATCAATGTTATTAAGTCGATTCTTCACATCAATTATTAGTAACGAGCGAATAATCTCTTTATCAATACATAGCTTTCTTAGAAATACCATCAAACTATGTACTATTTTTAAATGAGAATCTACTAAATAGAGGCTGTTGCAAGCCATGATGACTTATAGTATTATAAAACCAGTTTTTAAAATTTTTCATGATATAATGAATCACTTTTATCAAAAAGAAATCAACAACCCAATGTTACACAAACTCCTTGGAGGATCTGAATGACAGTGTTGGAAAAGACAGTTTGTATTTAGGGAAAAACAAAGGATACTTATAAAAATAATGCACTATTGATTAAATTTACAGTCAAAGCAATATTTTACTTATCCTAATCGTTTCATTAAATGTTCTTGGGAAAGGGTGATGCATCAATTGATGGTTACTTCAAATAAGTAGGTAAACACAATCTTATGACAAAAGTTGCAAAACATTGAAAAAAATATATCAATCTACAATCAAAAACAAGAATTAATGGAAAATATAAATATTTTTTTATTGTTGGGATGCATAGGTCAATATTGATAAATTCAATCATTTGAATCTGAGTATGAGAATCGCTTCTCAGCACCGTTACCATGCACCGTCACCAGTATGCATTCTACTGATTATTTACATAATGAGTTTGATCTCTTTATTATCTCAGACAATATTTCATGCTATTGAGTTAGCGAATTTCAAAAAAAAACTTGCGAGATAAAAATAGCTGAAAATTTTTTTACTAATTATAACTTTATGATAAATTTTACTTTTATTTGTAATCATATAATAATAAATACTGTAATAATAATAATTGATTTGCTATTTCATTAAGATTACTAACTTCAAACACCTTAACAGTGATTGCAGTGATCCTATAGAAACAGTTTTTTACTGAATATATATAATTGCTATATTCAAGAACCTTTTAGTTCAACAATAAGAAAATAAATATCTTTTCCGAAAAATAATTTTATAAATTAAAATAATTGAAATAATTTATATTGTGCATAGAAAGCAAAAACATATATCAACTATTGGCCTATTAACTAGTAAGAAGCATATTTTCTTGAATTTGATTGAAGTTCTGATTAATCCAAAAAGTAGGAAGACAGCAAAACTCATTAATTAGAAAAACAAATTTTTGGTCAATTTCTAAGAAAATTAATTTTAATTATAGGGTATCTGGGTCTCTGATTTGCATTGAATCTTCATTTGATAATTCTAATATTTTCAGAAAACGTTTGTAATGAAATATTATATATTTCATACAAATCACTTCAAAAAGTTCATCTAGGATTGAAAGAATATATAATACTAATTTTTTTCAATATATTTAATATGTTTTTATTTGTTAATCTATTAATTTCATATATTATTTAATGATGAAACATAATATTAAGTTTCTTCAATATATTCAACACATATTTATTTGTTATCTTTTAATCTCATATTTTATTTAATGTCACACAATAATTAAATTATTAAATTAATTGATGTATTATCTTTTTATATATAAAAAATGTATTTCTTCAAATCGTTAAACTGTATAATGTTGATCAAATTAAAGAGCAATCACCTTAAAAAATATTGATTTATATAAAAACTAATTTATTTTTAATAAAAAGATTTGTTAGCACTTGTAAAACAGAAGAAAGTATATGAATACTGAAATATTCATATGAAATCAAATTATGTTAAAAAATAAACGAAACGCCCACAAGAGCTAAAAATGTTTTCGAAAAAGTGAACTCAAGAGCATTTTCACATACCGTACATTTTCACATTTTTAAAAAAGAAAAGTATCTTTATTTATGTTGATATGTACAGAAATCTGTCTAAACCAATTAAAACGATGCACTAAATTTAGAACTGAAACAAGCGAAGATATGGAAATGAACGTTGCAGACGCGATCTCTGAGATACAAAAAAAGGAGGTGCATGTGTGTTGCATGTGAGCCAACGAATAGCATTTGGAATATTTAAAGATTTGAATGATCCACACACATTAACTTCACTGTTTTCAATTATTTCAAGAAAATCTGGTATCCAAGCAGGAAAGGGGGAAAATCCTATTGAAAAGTACAACAAGAATTTTGAAAATAATTTCAGTAGTCAGCCAACTTTAGCATTGTTTAGTGTTGTGGCAGCAATTAACTTAATTAAATCATTTGTGTTATTGCTAATCTAATTTACGGCATAAAAGAGCAAGCGCGAAATAACTCAATTCAGCAATATATCTCTTAGATATCACAAAAACAAAAAGCACGAGATAAAAAATATAAAAATTCACGAAACGCGAAACTCGCATCTACGCACGCTTTTGGCTTTAAATTTGTGACTGTGCAGTTTTAATTCAAAAAAGAAAAGATTTTATATATTTTAATTTTCGCAATAAAAGAACTCAAGACGTCGTGTGCTGCTGTCGTCCTCAATAGAAAAGAACAATCTTCACGCGACAATTTTCTTAATTAATTGATACTTAATTGAATTATTTAAGCAAGAAACTTAAAACTGATTTATATTATCAATTAAAAAATGCTTAACTATCAACAACAGTTAAGCAATATCAGCAACAATATTGGCAGCAATGACAATGCAACAGCAACAGCAGCTGTAAACAATTTCTACTACAGTCAAACGCAAAGTGCAACTTCAGTAACAGCAACAGCAACAGCAACAGCAACAGCAACAGCAGCAGCAGCAGCAGCAACACAAACGGCTATGTCAGCAGCAACATTGCAACATTTACACAATTTAACGCAAGAACAGAATTTTTATGCAAGTCATAATTGTCACGCGCATACCGACGGCAATGACGTCATCAATGTCGGTACCAATAACAATAATTCAGTTGCACATTATCAAAATCAAGGTACTGCATTGACGGGAAATGGCGTCGGAATTGAGCAAGAGACCAAGGCAAACAGTTTTATATCCGTGAAGGGTTCGGAGAATGTAAAACGATTTTCGGTGAATAATTTATTGGAATTAGCCAGTGATTGTCACATCTCGAACAAACTGCAACATCATTCAAATCTGAGCAGTACAGCACTGGAGGACTTGGGTATGTACGACAGGCACGTTTAATGTGAATCGTGCTAAGTTTGCTAGGATTGAAGTAATTTTTGTGAAAAGAAATTCCAAAGTGCAAAGTATTTCTAAAATTATTTTTCTCAAGGATTGCTTGAAATTCTTGCTATAAAAAATTATTTTTACATTATTAAATGAAGTAGATACAATGAGGAGTTCTTCATTGAATATAGCAAATCAATTCTCAAATTCTCAAAATGCAGTATATATAGTTGCCTTAAAAGAATTATTGATGTAGTGAGTAACAACTTACATTTATTTATTATAATACGAATTGAAAAATTTGAAAAGTAACAAAAAAATAACGACAGAAATGCTTGAAATACAATTAAATTTATGAACTATAGTAAACATATCGCTAACTTAAATAAGACCGAAAGAACAAAGTCATCCATCGGAATAAAAAGAAGTGCCTTTTAAATAATCATGAGAAGAATATCCTATACTTATAAATAAATTGTAATAAATTTTGTTTCTTAAAACGAAGTAAATATCTTTAACTTACTTACTTATGTGGCCATAACAACCCGTTACCGAGTTTCGGCCTGACGCAGCATGTCTCCCTAGGTGCCTCTGCTGCGTGCGCACCTTCTCCAGTCTCGTATATCAAGTCCAGTTAGTGCTTCCTCAACTTGATCACTCCACCGGAGACACGGTCTACCTCTACGTCTTCTTCCGCCAACTACTGCTTCAAACACCTTTTTCGCCGGAGCATCTTCATCCATTCTCACGACATAACCAAGCCAGCGAAGCCGCTGGATGTTAATGCACTGAATTATATCAATGTCTTGGTAAAGCTCGTACAGCTCGTGGTTCATTCATTCTTACGAAGAACTTTTCTCTCGAACACTCCCTGTGCTGCTTCATCATTCTGTGATAACGTCCACGCTTCTGCGCCATACAGAAGCACAGGGAGGATGAGCGACCTATAGAGCGTGTTTCGTTTGTCGAGAGAGAGCTCTACAGCCCAATTGCCTACTGAGCCCATAGTAGCACCTATTAGCAATGGTGATTCTTCGTCTGATCTCCAGACTGACATCATTTGTGTTCGTTAAGGCGGTGCCAAGGTAGATGAAATCCTTGACAGATTCGAAAGTATAGTCGGCAGCCACTAGCTCGGTGTCAAAGCGAAGCACATTTCTACCAGTAGCCGACATATACTTCGTTTTTCCCTCAATATTTTTAACTAATTAGAGTAAATTTACCTATTTAAAAGGTTATTAAAGTTATCTTATAGTTTTTCAATATCTTAATCTTTTTATTCTAATGTGGCTCATCCTTTATAGCTTATATTTTTCCAAATCAAATGGCTTGTTACTTCGGTTGCATAGTTCCAAACGATATCTATCAATTAATCTATCCTGTGATCTATACTTTTTTATTCACTCTATACAGTGTTATCTATTCTGTAATTATGAAAGTAAACCTAGATGGGATACACTTAAGACTAAAATTTGTATCATATTTTGATTTAGTATGTTGTCTAAATTTTGCCATTAGATATAAAATAGAACATCAATCTAATGCTCTCCATTTCAGTACTGTATTCTTTAAAGGAAATCTTCAATGACTTCTCGGCACATAGCTCCACCATAACTTGAACTATGTTCACTCTTGACTATTTATCAAGAGTTTCAGAATGCTCCATTTAAATACGATCCTTTACATACAAAAAAAATTCAGTAAGAGCATATTGTATGGCTTATAGTACTGTTATGCTGAAAATACACATCTTTTACAACCATGTCTTCAATTATGCACGCAAAAATATTGATTATCATATATTGATCAGAACTTGATAATTCCTAATTAATATGAATATTTAGTGATCAGAATTAACCATTTATGTGAAATATTATTTATTTAAAAAAAAAACTGGCCCTTCACACCTCCAGATCATATACGATACATACGACAATGACTTTTTATGCTTATAATGATATTACTACAAATACTTCTGGATATTCGCTACGCCATATGTGACAGTTCAGTTGTTTGGAATATTCACTAAGCTCAGAACTTATAAGTAACTCGCGTAAGTCGTTCAGCTATTACAAGATTCGTATTATTAAATAGCAAGCCTTTGGTTACTAAAAGAATGTTACGAAATAGACACATACAACACTTATTTCCCTTAAATTTTTTCTTTGATACATTTAATTCCCCTCGATTATGTTTTTTTTGTTCCTCCTAATAACTACTCTACTTCCTCAATCATATCATTTATTTTTAGTGCATCCACAATATCTTTAAGGCATATTTATCACAAATTTTTTTTAAATGACATACTCATAGTTATATAGACTCGAACATTAACTGTCCATAACACTGCGTTAAACTTTTGTATCTAATTTAATCAAGTTCATTGCAATTTGTGCTTTCTATTTTTCTTAAATACAATCTTTTCCATCTTCTAATAGAAAATAGATAACTTTGCTGTCCATCCAGAGCCCATAAGATACTACAAAAAATCGTGAGTTACTCTTGATTCCTTTCCAACAAAAAAATATTCATAAAAAGAAGATCGACAACACATCCAGTAGTAAATTAAGGGCAGGCATCATAGAGGCTACTAGATACAGAAGTAACCGATATATCAGGCTTTACACGTGAAATAAAGCGAAAAATATTAAGGCCATTGAAAAAGGAATACGTATATATCATATCAGATAAAACCATAATAAACTAAAAGAAGGGGATAAAACTATACAAAATATAAAAAAATTGTTTGAGTGGATATGATTTTAGAGCTCATATCAATTTAATTGATCTAATGATTTTAAAGATCATATATTGTTCTTATTCTTAATATCTTGCAACTAATATATGAGACTTTTACAATTCTTTTGTAAATATAATATAACATAGCCACAATTGAAGATCATATTTTCACATTATTTGGCCAATACAAATAATCCGTACCTAATGCAGCACATAATATTAGATACATAATAAGATTTTTATTAAAATATATACCCGAATATGTATTCATAAGGTCACCTTTCTTAAGCCCTTTTTTCTTACAAGAAGATCTCCTGAAACCTAATATATCCGAATGTATTCTTTTCTCTCCAATCATGTACGATCTAACATAATTTTTGACATTGTCTCTCTCATTTCCTAAACATTCGTTTTAAAATTAGTATTGTACTGTTGAGGATATATTATTGAATACAAAATTATTGAATATACAAAATTTTGTTCCAAACTTTCTCAAAAAAATTGTATGACAGGAAAATGTCACAATTTAATGTTCCCATATCAACTTTTTCTCAATGTATTTCCTCTTCTTGGATTTTACACAAAATCAGAGATCAAAAAATTAAAATATCGCACACAGAATTCATAAGTCACCGCTTTGCGGGAACTCTAAAGTCAAATGATTTATAATTAGGTGAAAATTTAGTGCTCTTTAAAATTTAATTATTCATTTCATAACATTTTCCACTAATGCTGCCGACTTGCGGCTGCAATTCAAGTAAAATGATTGTGATAAATTGGTGCATGCAAGTGCGCCATATGTGGCCAATTTAAGAAGGCGGTACATGAATTTGAGGTTTGACAACAGCCACTGAAGAGCTGTCAGCACACAAGATACGCACTGTAGTTGCGATAATCAAGACGACATGACGTCTTGCAAGTCAACCGATGAATACGAGTATTGGAACATCTTCTTGGTGCAAAGCATATTATGACATCACGTAATATTGTGTGATCTTATATGACTACTAAGCGATTCTTCGAATTTTCGTGGCATAACCAAAGAAAACGTTCCAATTTTTGACTTATTTTGTTGTAAGATTATCAATTGAATAAAGTGACGTTTCTATATTAACCACAGAAATATCTACTTATACTGAACTAGAAATAATATGTTTATTGAAGTGTTCGAAACTAAATACATTTGAGCATATGGCTAACAATATTGCATACACATATTAAGAATATAGATTATATATTGAATGTACACAAATATAGAGACCACACAATACTATAAAGTATCTCAAACCAGAAATAAATCTACGGTAACACAAGTCAAATCAATTTGTCAACAAATAAAAACCACACAAACTAGAATTTAAATCCAATCCAAGTCCCTTGCGAACAAAAATCTTGTAGAAAAAGATTCAAATTATAACCCAATAAAAAATAATACTGAAAAAAGTTCTTTAATTGAAGTTTTCCCATAAAAAATGCAGTACGAAATTTTTCTGTAAAAAACGGGTACTATTTTTGTTTGCGATTAGGAAAGGATGTGCAACCGATGCAGCGCAATGCACATGCTACAAAATGCTCAAGTAAATTAAAAGAGACATAACGACGCATTTACGATGGAATTTTTTATAACACTCGCGGGTGCACTATTCCAACTTGAATGAACGGATGAGCAGCCTGAAGAACGCTTTACCACGCTCAAGTGATAAACACCCATAATTTCGTACTCGGACTAACAAACGTATTTCGTATGATGTCTCCATATCCCCCTTTTACAATTTTTTAACATTTTCATTTTTTATAGATACAGATACAAAAAAAGATAAGTGCACACGAGTACGTATTCATCTAATTTATGGTATCATGCAACGCCTGATATAGAATACCCGGCCGCCACTGTCAACGCAAATTAACTTTATGTCATGTTGACAATGTCGGAATTGCCTTTCAACCATGGAATTTTTGGTACCGTGCTGTGTGCTCAGTGCGCTCATAAAAGTTTCGCTTTCTACGATTATTGAATTGTGCACCACCGATTGATGTAATAAAATCAGCGCAGTTTGTTGAGCGCTGATTTTGGGCGCCGAGTATCAGTTGTTCTGATTCCTTTGTGTATAAGCCGCTAAAAAATAGTATTTTATGACTGTATGTAATATTATACGCATGTGAGCGAACACTATATAGAGTGCTCATACGATCCATTGAAATAGAAAAGTAAATATTAAATTGTCTGCATTAAATAGTAGAACAAGATATTTGTAAAAAAATGTGGAATAAGATATATACTACAGTGAATTTCAATATTAATTTCATTTCAATATTATTCCATTTGAATAGTGAGTTTTCTTGAACTTTTGCACTTTACGAAGGTATAGCTCTATTAGTGGCCATATGATTTGAAGATAATTTCTACATTATAAAAAATATTACAATTACAAGAAGTGATTACTTATGGAATAGAGGAAGAGATTCCCAATTGCTTATGAAATGCAAAATAAATATTGTTTGATAAAGTTTGTCAATTGAATTCTTTTTCATTACAAGAAACGAAAAAAAAAATTTTGCAGCTAAAAAATTTAACAAACACAAGTCCTGTTACTTTATATTTTCACTAAGTAAAGGGAAAATTTTATCTTCTGTAACCTCGAAGAAATATCATCAAAAATATGCAATAAAACTATATTCTTTATATACTTTTGTTCAAATATATGCTGTTTCGTCCCTCTGTGATAACATCCGAGGCCTCACAATAAGCAACCTAAAAAGCGCAAGAATTATCGATCAAACGATCACTCAACATCCTCACTAACTACTAAACCGATAGCACTACCAATTCGCAACAATAAGCATTTGACTCGAAGATGAGGAAACAACTATGCATATTCTTTTTGACTGTCCAGGTTTAATAACGCATAGAAGAAACTTCTATGTTGAGGCTAGTTGAGTTGAGTCAGTACACCTGAGCACTTTTACTCTCTATTAACTGCGAGGTTTCTACAAAACCCCTCTTTGCGCCTTGACTGGATTATTGTTTGTCACTTCATTAGACTAAACAATAATTGACCTCAGATCTGTATATCTCCCCGAGGAGCCTGTTACCATTCTGAGATTTGATAACGCGGTGTTAGTAAGTCTGTCAGATTTCGCAAATAATTTCAGGGCTCTATCCTTCATGTATTTTTTGATGGGACCAATCTTGAGGTCCCTGAGGATGTCATTCATCCTAATGTACCAAGGAACTTTGAAAAGTCTTCTCAGAGCCTAGCTTTTTGCAATTTCTAACTGGTGAATAGTAGTGTTTGTAGCTTTGCTAAACGCTACACAACAATATAGAAGTGTTTCATATGGTTTTTTGTCACCAGAATAGATTAAGAGCTCTTCTCTAAATTTAGTTCTGGACTTTGTTCACAAAGCTTTAAAGAATTTTGTGTAATCAATAGTGAAATTGATACAATAGGACTCTTCTGGTCGTAATACCGGCTGTTGGGCGATTTCTCGTTAAAGCTTTAATAATATTACTAAAATTAAACAATTAACTATCTTTTCACGCTCGATCTTTTAGGTTGTTTAGTTTTTATAATAACTTAGAGAATTCATGTCAGTTGCCTCAAAATATAATTTTTCTTAACACCTTATAATCCATACCACTCGCTTATAAATTTATTCATGTTAACAATCAAATAATAATTTAGCTCCCTACAAAACATTTCAATTGTGTTAATTACTTTTAATATTATTTTCTATTAAAAACCAATTTTCAACAAATATTCTATCGCCATCATCATCATTATCAGCATCAGCATCGTTCCAGCTATTGCAACCCAATGTAGGTCGAAACTTTCTTCACAGTACTACTCTAGTTTATACGCTTAATGTCCTTGATTTCATAATTTCGGGTTTTCATAACTCATAACTCTGTTCTGGCAATAACAAAAACTTTATAATCAATTAAAATTTAAGTATCACTTAAATGCGATGAAAATCATAATATTTGTACCTAATTAATTTGTCATTTATAAAGAGAAATAAATATCTTAACTGTATAGAATCACGCTCAGTTGCACCCAATCATCACCATCCATTTAACTCACTTTTGACAAGTGACAACACTAAATCATTATTTTACGAGTTTTTAATTCGAAGATACAAAATGATCACTTTTTCAACATTTTAGTGCTGTTAGTGCTGTTAGTACCGTTGGTGCCGTTGGTGCCGTAAAAGGCGTGCAATGAACACAGAACTTTACAAATTCAAGAAAAACTATAAAAACAATTTTACAAACTGTCAACGACAATGAAAGGAAATACGGACGAAACATAAGGAAGACTGTTGCTGTTGTTTGCTGGAAGTGTTGTTACAGCAGCAATGCTGCAAGGAAAGCCATTGCAAACGTCACGTTAACAACAAAAGCAGCCAAGCAGGCAAGCATCCAGCAATAGAAATGCCAGCCGCAGCAGCGAAAGTATAAAATCCATGAAAAATGAAAAATGAAAAATTTAACGACATTGTGGACAGTAAAACGATACAAGAATTTTCGACATAAAATCAATTGATGTGGTGTTGATGTTGTATTGAAGTTAGGGATTTCCACGGCATGATGAAGGAAAATATCAAAAATTACGAAATATTTTATGACCTTTCACTTACAATGAAATTCAGCAAAACTCTGATTGTTGAAAGCACTAAAAATTATTTTGGAATAATTTTTTCTTTTTTTTTTTTGTTGGGGTCATTAAATTTGATTTAATGAATTTTTCTCGGAATAACTCTTAGAATTCAATTAAACTGAAAGCTGCTAACATTTGCATTAAATTCCTTGCTTCTTTTTGTATTATTTTTAGATGACAGTTTCCGTAGCGACTTTAGTGGCGATCATATTCAGGGTGGTAGCATGCAAACGCGCAAACCGCGCCGTAATCGCACCACATTCACCTCAGGACAGTTGACAGCACTGGAGAAAGTATTCGAACGTACGCATTATCCAGATGCATTTGTACGCGAGGAGTTAGCAACGAAAGTGGGTCTAAGCGAAGCGCGCGTACAAGTAAGACCAACTTGCAATTTGTACGGTGAACTCAAAATAATTTCCAGTATTCTAATTTATACTTCACCACAGGTCTGGTTTCAAAATAGACGCGCAAAATTTCGACGAAATGAACGCAGTACGAACAATGGACGCAGTTTATTAGCAACAGCATCACAGCCTGTGCCACCTATAACGAGTGTTCATAAATTCGCTACCGATAAGAGTGCGGCAGCACTGTTTCACCAACAAATGGATTTACCCCATCATGCAGCGGCCGCAGCCTATTCATTGAGTTTTCCAACACTTAGCATGTATTCATCCAAAGGCTATACGAACTCATACGGTGCATTTGGTGCGACGGCCGCTACAAATGCGGCCGCCGCTGCTGTTGCCAATGATGCTATTGGTGGTGCATTCTTCACACCCACCAATTATTGCACACCGAACTACCAGCACAGTTATGCTTCTTTGCGATATAAGAGTGCGCAAGGATTTTCCGCGTTATGATTTGAATTTCTGTCAATGACGAGTGTGACAATACAACTATTTAAGCAAACATAAATTTTATTTTTCTTTAGTTATATAAACTAGTATAATTAAAAATAAATATTAATAAAATTTTTTGTTAAGGAATATAATTACTGCAATTTATTGATATAGATTACACTGATAAAGATGAGTTAAGTCCGAGGTATTTATAGGCTATATACTATGTGCTTTAAAATGTTCGAACACCAAACTGCTGGAGTAGATCGAGTATTTTCGAATTCGAACAATTCAAATATTCAGAAAAGCTCGAGACATTCGTAGATATTCGAGCTACTGGAGCAGCAAAGCTTCTCGAGATTCCATTTTGATTTTATTTTATTTAATACAAATACGGGAAACAACAAACTCTCAAGCACTATTCGATGTACGGTTTAAGTACTAGAACACTGAAACGGTGGAAGTTTTCAACAACTCGAAAAATACAGCTCGAAGCACTAAAATACATCATCAATGTTAGGAATATAAGAAAAGATTAACAAATATAATCAAACAATAACAAATTTTTCTTACTTTTTGATTAGGTCTTCAGGTAGTATCAGATGACATTACAAAACAATGGGTTTCTAAAGGATCACTCTATTAAATACAGTATTATTATTTGTAATTTCTTAAAGTTTGATATTTGCAATTGACTTACCCGATATTGTTTGCTGCTTTTGTTTTTCTGTTAAATTCTCTCTTGATGCACTAAATACATATATACATATAGATCTATGTTTCAATGGTTGCGAATATTTTTTAACTTTTTATTGTTCTGGTAGTGGTGGCTCTATCATTTCAACCGCAATTCGTGGATCATTTGCTACATGCTGGTAACGATAAGCCATTGCTCTTTGTATTAATAAGAGTTCCCTAGCCGTAATTCTATTTTGCAACTTTTTTATCTGATAGTCCAATATTGGCTCTATTAGCTAACGAAGTAAATGAAAAGCAGAGCATGTTTTTGAGAAAATTTTCCTCACTTTTATATGTAATTTAACTTACCAATACTGCAAAGTGTATCGCTGCAATCCCATACAAAACATATTTTACTTTTGACATTTTACTTATAAGTGTTTTAGAAAAATAAATAAAATAAATTTATGCTTATGTACCACAATTCATAATACTTGCGAAATTTAGAAAATATATGTATTAAAACAAAAAAAGTACAAACAAATAATTTTTTTTCTTTCTTTAAAAATCAAACTCTATAAATTAAATATATTTCAATGCAGATATGATTAAAATATCTGTTTAAATATCTTTTTTTTTATTTAAGTACATTGAAATGCCTCGATTAAGCAACAGTCACCAGCTTTAGTAACTGGCGACTCTAACTGAAGCAACAGCCTTTATTATATTAAATACAACAGTCTCCGACTCACAGTTTCGATATTTTCTAAACTAGTAGAGATAAGGCCCAATCGACCCCTCCAAAGTTGGACCCAAATACGGTCAACTTTTACATATTTAAGAAATTTGGTATATTAAATATACAAAATTATACATACAAAATTTTCATAAAAAATTATTATTAAAAAATATTTTACTTTTATTAGACTAAGTACATTCATTATGCATATAACAATATAACTTAATGTAAAAAATTGAAGTGATTCGCCTATTAATTCTTATATAGGTAGGTTGCAGTCGCGACCTTGTTTCCAAAAAGCTAACTTGAGCTCAAATAATGGTCAATTGTGGTATCAAAGGAATAGCATTGGTACGTACATAGATTGAAATCAGTAAAATACCATTTTATATATTTTTATTTACAAATATTAAATACTTATATTTGTGACCAAAACTTATTATTATAATAATTTGTTACCGGGCTAATTGGTCAAATTTTAATATAAATAAA